GAGAAAAAGAGAGAGAGAGAGAGAGAGAGAGAGAGAGAGAGAGAGAGAGAGAGAGAGAGAGAGAGAGAGAGAGAAGAAAAGAAGAAAGTTTTTCGCCAGGAACTCTGTGGACTGTGGGTTGACAGGAAATGTTCACGTGAGTTGAACGTTTGGCTAAATTCAACAGTTGTGTTTGGTTTAACAAGATGTTTGGACCACGTGATCAGAATTTTGAAATGAGAAGGATGAGCTTAGGCATTGGGGGAGGGGGGAGTGGCGGGGGAGAGGCTCCATGAAATGACGGAGTGGAATGAGATGCTCGGGCGCTAATAAAGGAAAACCGCTAAGTCGTGGGGTGTCAATTTAATTAGTTCGCCCCCATTTCTGATCACACTCTTGACGGGTTTACGCTGATTAAAGATGTTTCTAGTGATGGGTGGAGGGGGCGTTGGGGGGCAAGTTATGGGTGTGATGGGGAGGGACGTGTCGGCAAGTGATGATGTTGGGGTAGGGGGTGAAAGCGAGAGTGGGGGAAGTAAGGTGGGGGGGGGCGCTCAGAAAGTATCTGGTCATAAAACTTGTTTCCCATGATTGGAGATTGAATTATCCTGGAGATGCTTGTGATGGTGAGATGATTACGTTGAGGTAAGGAAGGTGAGGTAAGGACGGTGAGGTAAGAATGGGGAGGTAATGATGGGCAGGTAATGACAGTGAGGTAAGGATGGTGAGGTAAGGACGGTGAGGTAATAACGGCGAGGTAAGGATGTGGAGGTAATGATGGGGAGATAAGGATGTGAAGGTAATGATGGGGAGGTAATGATGGGGAGGTAAGGATGGGGAGGTAAGGATGGGGAGGTAAGGACGGTGAGATAATGACGGTGAGGAAAGGAAGGTGAGGTATTAAAAGTGAGGTAATGACGGTGAGGAAAGGAAGGTGAAGTAAGGATGGTGAGGTATTAAAGGTGAGGTAATGACGCTGAGATAATGACGGTGAGATGATGACGGTGAGATAACGACCGGGAGATAGCGACGTTGAAGAATAAACACGATAGATACCACAACAGTACATTAGCGTGTGAGTGCAGGCTGCCTAAATTGTAATGAAGAGATAGACAGACAGACAGAGACGGAACTTCAGAGAGGTGAGAAAGAGATAGACAGAGGTAAAGAGAGGAACATATGATGACAGACAAAGAGACAGACACAGCGCGAGAGACAGACAAAGGGAGCAAAACAGAGAGACCGAGAGAGAAAGCGAGAACAAGACGAAAGGAGGGTGAGCAGAGGTTGGGAAAGAAATCAATGACAAAGTTAAAGAAAATTGGCACAACAACCTCCTCGGAGGAGAATTGGCGGAGGTCGGAGTGAAAAAAAAACAAACACATTAAAAAAAAAAAAAAAAATTTTAAAAAAAAAAACAAAAAAAAAAAGAAAAAAAAAAAAAAAAAAAAAACGTCCCAGGTGTTCGCGTTTTTAGTCTGACACCCAAGTGTTTGATTCTGGCGTTGCAACTCATTCCCTTCGCCTGGCTGAACATGTCGTAACATAAGCTTATTTTTTTTTTCTAGCTTCCATCAAAACCGCGCAATGTTTTCATCCCATGCGGAGATTATATTATCACAGCTGTATTTTCCCCGTGAAACCAAATTGGAAGTTTGCACCAAAGGTAATTCACGATCTGACCACCTCGTGAAATGAGAGACGGGGAGATGGCGAGATGAACAAAGAGGTGGAGAGTGGAGCANGTTGGGGGGGGGGGGGAAAGAGAGAAGAGTAGGAAAGGGAGAGAAATGTAAGCAAGGTAAAGATGAGAGGGCAAGGGGAGGGAAGCTTAGACAAGGGAGAAAAGTGTAAGCAAAGGGTGGGTGAGAGGGCAAGAGGAGGGAAGTGTAGGCAAGGGAGAGAAATGTAAGCAAGGCAGAGAAGAGAGGGCAAGGGGTAGAAGAGTAGGAAAGGGAGATAAAAGCAAGCAAAGGGAGAGAAGCTTGTGCAAGGGAAAGAAGGCAGGGCAGTTAGTTTTAAGTTACTTGAATAGGTACTGGACAAGTGAACTTTTACAATAAATTCAAACGAGGAATCTGTGTTTGTGGGGGGTGGGGGGGAAGAGGGTGAGGCTTAATATGTGGGGAGATGATTACGGAGTCGCGGGAGGAGATACGCTCTAAACACTTATCTTACAACGAGCCAAAAGGCTTCAAAACCGTTTTGTTTCGGTAGAGGGAAAAGTCCATAGA